AAATTGATTAAATTAACTTCCCGTAGGGTAGTTATAGTAATGGGTTTGGGCGCGACCATTAATCACGTGAGCGAGATTTTAAGGATTTTTGGACCCTTTCTTGATGATCCTTGGTGATATTCAAAATTCCCCCCCCTCCCCATCCAAACATCACGTGTATTTTAGTTACGTGAAAAAAATATACAAATTGTGAATTATTTTTGAAAATGTTTGAAATTTAAAAAAAAAATATTTAAAAAATAAATACACGTGATATCTTACTATACCCCGCCCTCCCCCACGTGATATTTCGTGATTTTTTGTCAACCCCCCGCTTTCCCCTGGAAACCTCACGTGATTAATGGATGCCCCCTTTTAAAGGTTTCTGAACATTTGGCATACCTCAGAAAAAATGATTCGTGTGTTTGTTTTGTATGTCCGCATTTTTCGTCCACGTTTTCGGGCGCACTTATCAACCGATTTGAATGGTTCAGAAAAACGTTCGATTCTATTAATAGGGAGATGTGCTGATTAATTTTTGGTAAAAGCAGGTTCAGCCGTTACGGAGATACAAAGCAAAGAGTGCAGAAAATACAAATAGAATATTTGAGAGATCGGGGTATCCGATTTGAATGATTTAAAAAACATTCAATTTGTAATGATTGGGGGAAGACGGAAGAAGGTATTAGTTCTAGACCAAGGCACATCCAAGATACAGAGCTAAATATGCAAGAAATGGCAGTTTTTGAAAGAACTAAACGTCCAATTTAAATGATTCAAAGAACTTTTTGCTTGTTTTAACAAAATAATTGGTTTTGAAAATAATGATTTTTTGTTTAATTTTTTGATTACAATATTTATAATAATCTATTTGAAAACATTTGATATTTCTCGAATATTTTGTTAAAGTACGGGAAGTTCCAAAAATTTGCTATAGGGCACGATCCATACCCTACTAGTTTACTTTGAATTTGAAATGTTTGATTTTGCTGTCCGATGTCTTTTTTTTTTATTTCTTTTGTTTGCTTCTGGTAAAAATTTAGCCACATAAATAATATACAATATATAGGTAACATATCTTATATATAAAAATGGAGCTGTCTTTCAAATGTCCGAATGAAACTCGAAAACGGCTGAATGGATTTGGCCAGTCTTAGTCGTGAAAAATTCGTGCCAATCCAGAGATTGTCCAAAAGGTGAGATAATATTTCAAATCCGCGTAGAAACTTTACATTTTTAATTTGAAAATTTTTGTAGAAGCGTAATTTAAATGAAACAATGGACAGTGGCTAACACGTGAAATGTCAAACGTTTTTGACAGATGATGTTCAATTATGTTTAATAGGATGTTTTACGTGAATATTATTCAATTATGATTAAATTGTAGTAAGTAGTTTTGTTTGTAGTTTTATTTATATACAAAAACGTTAGTAAACGGGCCGCAAGTGTTACTAAAAACTCAAAATATCAACATTTTTGGAATGTTAATATGAAAATGCACTTTTTGGCATATTTTTCTCAAACACGGCGCTCTGAAAGATCTCATTTGTATAATTATATACTCATTGGTATTTATAAAACATTTTCTAGGTTATATTATTTTTTATTTGTGTAATTTAAATTCATAACCTAAATTTGGTATCGATCAAATGGACATTTTGTCGAATAACATTTTTTCAGTTATAATTCCCCGGAATTTATCGCAGAATAGATAGTAATATATGAAGGTCCGGGAGTAAAAAGGTCCATCACCGATGTGCCAAAAATCAGTAAAGTTAAGCATTGTTTAACAACAATATTTGAAAGTAGAAGAAAAAAGATGCCAGCTACAAACTTGATTTGAAAACGATAATCTTTGAAATGGGGGAGATAAACGGTAATCTTTGAAAATTCATAATAAAAGTATTTTCTTCCGTTGGTAGTTTTAGCATTAGTTAAAAATGTAATTATTTTGTAAAATACCTTTAAAATTATAATAAGGCTTTAAACCTTTTGCCACCTGCCCGTTACAAGTTACCCCGCATATAGGATAAAAAGGTCTAGATAACAAATTTTTGAAAGACATCAAAAAAGCACATTTCTACAATGATGAAGTAGAAGTCAGATTACTGAACGTAGTCAGATAATTGTTCGTTTGATATGTGTCACTTGTTGCGATATAATTGTTATGGTTTTCACAATATAGTTTATATTTACTCAAAGTCAAATTGGACCTTTGTGTCTCGCCCTGCTCTACATATATACTTTTTATTAAATTTACTTTAATTCATCGAATGTAACTTGACACTTTTCAAAAAGCAGGTCAAAAAAGAAATACTTAATTCATTTTTAATCTCTCCTCGCAAAAATTTGAAAATTTTGTATAAGCTCAGTATACTACTGATTTACAATTATACACAAAATCCAGAATCTAAAAAAAATCTGAAAAACTTGAAACGTAATTAATAAGCCGAAAGACCAAAAAGACTCGGATTGGATTATACGATGTTTTATATAAAAAGTGTATAAGTTTGCAGTTTGATTGTATTGACAAAATATAGACAAACTAATGGGGTTTATTGTATTTATAATACCTAATTGTACACAGCATTCAAACAACACATCCTTATGCACTTAAAGTATTTATATTTTTGATTCTCTAGAAATGGTTTAGAATATACCTTATTTAGCAAAACAACGTTTGCCGGGTCAGCTAGTATATTATATTAATCTCTTATATCTTAATTTTACTATCAATAACAAACCTAATTATGTAAGGATAACAAGTCAAATTGTGCAATAATGATGTCAAATTAAAGGGTTTGATCAGTGTTTTTATAGAATGTAGTTCCTCTAACAATTTAGCCCTGCTTGCGTCAGATATACTACATTCTAGTATGATGTGTTCCGATGTTCCGCTTGATGCTCCACAAGGACATAATTCTGACACTATTATTCCCAGCCTTTTCAAATGTGCAGGGAAGCTTCCATGGTTAAATCTCAGCCTCGTTATTGCTACGATAGTACCTCTGTTTTTATCTGGATATTTCCGAAACCAGGGTTTCATCTTCAGTTTGGGGTTGACTACCTTGTAGTATAGTCCCTTTGTCTCCAATGATCTGTTCCATTGCTCTTGCCATTTGTCCAATATTTTTTTCTTTGAATTATTCATATAATCTTTCCTAGTCGCTAGGTTGATCATCGTTCCATATTCTGTAGCCCATTTTGCTATTCAGTCCGCTTCTTCGTTTCCACTAGAACCACAGTGCGATCTAGTTCATAATATTTTAACTATATACCCGTTTTCCAATAGCTGTCTATCTAAGTCTATTCCATACTTCATATACTAATGTCTCGCTTAATCGATTAGTAAGGAATAGATTTTTCAATTTATCTATGCAGCTTTTACTATCGGTAACGATGACCACTTTAGTGACTTTGTGGCTTTCGATATATTCAATTGCTTTTTTTATAGCTATTAACTGTCCGATGTTAGCGAAGACTGAATGTACGGATACATTAGTTGGAAATAAAAACTGTTACAACAAAACTCAATGAACAAATAAAATCAAATCTTTCGTATTTTTTATAAATAGTATTTACAAATTACAAATAATGCTGTTTATTATGTTTTTAATTAGGTACATGCATTTAGGAAATAACCTGTTGAAGTTTTACGATCAAACTAGTGATGTATGGCATGTGGCTTAAGGCAAATCGCTGGAACTACCCTTACCGCAATGAAATGTTTGAAAAATATTAAATATTTTCAAATATATTATTATATGTGATATTTCAAGAATATAGGTAGCTTTAGATTTTTAGCTAGAATCAAAATAAAATCGGAATTATTTTTGTTATTCAAAAAAAAAAATAAAAAAATTAGTTATTTAAAAATGTTTGAAGTATTTTTGTTTGCTTTCGCTAAAAACAATATTCTTGTCAATACAAGCAAAAAGTTTTTGGAATCATTAAAATCGGATTTAGTTTATATCTTCAAAACTGCTAGACCTTTTTTGCAAAAAACTAAACACGACTTCTCTCCATCATTACGAATTAAATGTTTTTTTGAATTATTTAAATCAGATGATTGGCGCTCTCAGAAACTTGATTTCTATTTTCTGCATTCTTTGCTTTGTATCTCCAAAACGACTGGACATGTTTTTGCCAAATCAGTACGTCTACCTATCAGTAAGTATCGAATGTATTTTGAGTATTTAAATCGGTTGATTTGCGCGCCCGAAATCGTGGGTAAAAATTGTATCCACACAAAATACACACACACTTTTTTTCTAATGCATTCCAAAATGTTCAGATATCTAAACTGCAAATTTAAAATTATTTATTTTAAGTATTTTAGCTAGAATTAAAATTAAAATCCAAATTATTTCCGATATTCAAATAAAACTATTTTTTGTAAACAAAAATAATTGAAGTTTTAAAATAAAAAAAAATTAGCTTTTCTCAAAAAAGTTGTTTCGACTCCACAAGCAAAAAGTTTATTCAAATCATTCAAATCAGATGCCTCTTTCTCTCAAAAAGTGCCACTTTTTACACATTTGTGCGTATCTTTGAAACGTCTGAACCTGTCTTTGCCAAAAACTAATCACCAAATCTCCCCTTTATTACGAATTGAATACTTTTTGATTCATTCCAATTGAATATCCGAGTTTTTATTTTTAAATCTTTGATTCGTATCTCGGAAACGGCTGGACTGGACCAACCTTTCCCAAAAACTAATCAGCACACCTCCCTATCGACAGGAATCGATTGTTTTTTTGAATTATTCAAATCGGTTGAGCGGTACTCCCGAATACATCGACAAAAAATTGTATCCACACATACATACACGCGCGCACATACACAAACATCCAATTTTTCTGACTTATCCTAAAATGTTCAGAAACCTATGAAACGTGAAGATATGCGCAAATTTTTATTTTCGATTTTTGGTTCATTACTATAACTTATCCTATGGGAAGTTAGAAAAATAATTAGTGTTTGTAGATAAAGGTTTAATAAGAAAATATATTTTTTTGCAGGCGGGTGGATTTGGTGTGATATATGGAAAGAACCTCAACATCTTATGTTTCAACTTGCCAATGTGTGCTTCCTAGTTGCTTACTCGGCTCCTTCTTCCAAACGCGGGCAATTGTTTATGCACTCTGTTTTAATAATAAGTATGTCAATTAGAACATAGACTGGAAATATTGACTATATATATAAAATATTAAATCGATTATTTAACAGATGATCATGTAAGCTCAAATCGATTTCAAATTAATTAAATATCTTTATGATGGAACTTGTCGTTAATATTTGGATTCTATCGTATTTATTAATCTTAAAGTTTCTTATAATTGCATTAGGTATATTGCTGATGATGTTGATTGCATCCCAACTCCATTATATGCTTTTTGAACTATTTTGATATAATTGAAGCGTATCTTAAAAAATCTTTTTAACAATAGTTTCATTTTACTCGAAAGAAAATAAAATAATAACATGATGTATTTGATACTGATATTTCTGGTTTTCTATCTTCAGTTTTTAAATAAGGTTTTATTAATTTATAAACAAATTTATATATCTAATTTTTATTGACCTTGTAATCTGAAAATTATATATCTCATTTTTATTTGTATATAAAATGTATTATTACGCCCAAAGAAGTTTATTAGTATATAATCCTAGTATTGACATTAAATATGCGTACATGGTTGTTGTTCTTTTCTGTATCTGTTGATTAATATGTCATAATGACATTACACTCACTTGTATTTTCAATTTCAATTTCAATTTTCAAATAAAATACTAATCAGTGTAAATTTTTATTATTAATTTTTTATCATTTTTAGGTTTTATGGTATATTCCGCTTGGGCCTGGCAAGTTATTTGTGCGCCAGATGTGTTTTCGTGGAATTTTGCGTTTTTCTTTATGAACATTGGACAGGTCGTATACATCATTTACGAAATGCGACCGGTTAAATTCGATTCCGAACTAGAAGAAGCCTATAATAACCTTTTTCAGCCGTTTAAAGTATAATTGAATAATTACTTGCATTTCTAAAAAATTTAAACATTTCGTAATATACTTATTTTGCAGGTGTCTCGATTGCAGTTTAAACGAATGGTGTGCACGGATTTTGCGCAAGTTATGTCGTTGCATGCTGGAGAGGCGTATGCTATGCAGAATCTCACGAGGTATCATTATAAAACGTAGTAGTTGATGTAGACTCAACTAAAACAAGAAGAATGTATTTTATAATAATTTTAAATTTACAAAAGCGTACCTGCCTCACCGTGTGCATTTATATCAAACTTAAATCAAAATATTATTCATCATATATTTTCATGTTAAAAATTATCAAAAGATAAAAGGCGATAGTGACGTCACCGGGCAAACGAGCGTTGCCGAGTACCGTCGAATACTCTCGATTGGTTAAATATCATAAGAGATACCGTGGTTACGTGATTTGTGTAGACTAAAAATATTCAAAGAAAGTTTCTATTTTTTCGGAATCGCTCTGTTTCCAAATATAATAAGTTGAAGGAATAGTTACATTTCATTTAATTGTGATTTGTCTCGAAGAAATCTAGTTTTTTGCCGCCTATTTCTTACTTATTTCTGTGTGTAAGCAGTTTTTTGATAATTTGTTAAAGCGTTTTTTTGACTGCTTTGTATATAACTGCTTAGGATAGAATGACAGCAGTCACTAAGTCAAGATATTGATTATAAAATTGTTTTTATTTCTTAAAGTTGCTGTGCTAAAGGTAACTAATTATCGTTGAATAAAGCCAAAACTGGTAAATCTGGACATGACCAAGTATCAATTAAAATGCTAAAAGAATCGCCTGCCATTGTATTCAGATGCATTACTATCGTCTTTAATGCAATCCTGAGAATTCGCAAGTTTTCTACTACATGGAAAATTGTAAAAATCATACTAATATTAAAGCCTGAAAAAGACCAACACCTAGCACCATGATATCGACCTATCAGCTTATTCCCGATAATATCTAAAATTAATTTTAAGTCGAATAAATGATAATATAATTTCCAATGATATAATTCCAAATTATTAATTTGGTTTCGGGCAAAGCATTCCACTTTACAGCAAGTTCATCGAATTGTTAACATCATCAACGCTGCCTTACACTGCAAGGAGTACTGTTCTGCAGTATTTCTTGACATGTCTCAGGCGTTTGACAAAGTCTGACACAAAGGTTTTTGCATAAAGTTAAAATAAATCTACCCTATTTAATTGACTCACTACTACAATCATATATTTGCGACCGAAAGTTTTAGGTTGATATAAGTGGCACGCAGTCGGAATTAAGAGAAGTGAACGCGGGAGTCCCATAAAGAAGTGTATTAGGCCCTATGTTATTTTCACTTTACACTGCTGATTTTCCTCAATTCATCAATACTAATCTGGCTTTGTTCGCGGATCGCGGATGACACATGTTTTTTACCTGAAATCAAAATCCTCTAACTGTTTCAACGCAGCTGCAGTCACGCATTGATATGATTGAAAAATGGTTTACTTTATGGAGATTCACAATTAATAATTCAAAATCTGTTCACATTACGTTTACTCTTAGAAAAGGTATATACCTACATGTCGCAATTTATAACGAACAAATTCCAAGCCGAGATCATGTAAGATATTTGCGTATGTATTTGAACAAGAAATTAAACTGAAAAATCCATTATCAAAAAAAGCGCAAACATCTAGAACACCTTCGATGAATTGGCTTCTCAGTAGTAGGTAAAAACTGTCGATGTACAATGAAATTTTATTATACAATGTTATCCTCAAACCACTTTGGATATATGGCATCCATTTATGGGATGCTGCTAAAGTCAGTAACATACAAATAATGCAACGATTCCAAAATAAAATACTCAGGCGCGCCAAGCAATATCCGCGGTATGTACCGACATGGTTAATTCATCAAGACACCGATACACTCACAATCAGTAAAAAAATTAAAAAGAGTGCCCTTAACTTCAAGAGCAAAATTAATCATCATCCAAACGAACTGATAGCAAGTCTTCACAACACCACATATAATATAATACTAAAAAGACAGCATTTAATAAATCTAACATTTTAATTAATAATAAGTTGTTCTACCATATACCATTTGTTTATAATTGTATGTATATATTTGAGTTTCTTTTTTTCTTTATAATACCAAAAAATAATTAAGATATAATTTAGTTATTTTTTTCCTTATTGAATTGTTTTTTATTGTATATTATCATTTTTCAACATATGCGGACAGCCGAGCCGCAAAAATATTTGCTGCGGGCCACGAGTTTGACACCCATGGTGTAGAGCTTGGTTCTAATTTTTTTTGCCGCTTTGTGATAGACCTTTTTACTATTGACGTAAATATTACTACTATATTACCTTTTCACTATTGAGGTTATAGTGGTAATATAGGACATCTGCATATTCCTCATTTCAATTATTATAGGGCAATAAGTGTTAGGGCCAAACTTAGGCATGCCTTATTTAGACCTTACCCAATTTACCATACTAAGGCCGTCCCTATCAGGACATGCACTAAATTCCGTAATACGGGCGCCAAAGAACAGCCCTGTAGGGACCGCACCGGCGTTTGGGCTTGTTCTAACATATTTTCACTCAAATATATATATATATATATATATATATATATATATATATATATATATGTGTGTGTGTGTGTGTGTGCGTTCAACCTGGCGCACTACGGCAGGTTGCGCGTCCCCGCCATGCACAGTTATCCCATGATATAAAATCGCAGCGCACCAAGGCTCAGCCCTTTACTCGGTTGCCTAAACTCGAGGTGAACTCAAGGAAGAGAAGAAGACCCCTTAAATGATAATAGTCGAGTATGTCAAAACCGAAGAAGCCAGAGCAAATATCTTTCTCGCCATCTCAGGTGGAAAGAGTCGGCGTCAAAGTTTTGGCCTGAAAAGGCTCAGCTGTGGTTCGCTCAACTTGGAGGACAATTCGCGCTTTCAAATATATCAGCTGACACTACAAAGTTTTACGTAGCCATAGCATACTTAAAGACACAATACGCAGTCGAGATTGAAGACATTATTTCAAAACCACCGACCGAGAATAAATATAAAACTCTGAAACATACTCTCATCAATAGAATATCGACGTCCAAAGATCGCAAAGTAGAACAGTTACTGGAAAGAGAAGAAATCGACGATAGGCGACCATCCCAGTTTTTACGTCATTTGCGCGCACTAGGCGGATCAAGGGTTGACGATAGTATTTTTAAGATATTGTGGATTAAGTGACTACCAGAAAAAAATCAAGCTATTATATCGGCACACGACAATCTCGAACTGGATAAAATTGCAGACATATCATTGGAGCACCAAATCCAAGCAATCCAAAACTAGAACGCTGCATTAAATTTGAAGATATGTTTGCTAGCTAAACAAGTTCAAGCCCTTACCCAAACCAAATAACTAACCTTACCATCAAGGTCGAAAGTCGCACATCCATTTTCATGTGGCTACTGCCAGTACCACTCAAGATTTGAAGCTATAGCACGGAACTGTTGTGAACCCTGTTTATTTAAATCTTTAAACGATAGTCAATAAATGCGGCGCATGACTGTCAATTAATTAATTCAACAAGCCGAGATTTTTCTTGAAAATTTGTGATCGCCGACGTCGAAAAACCTTGCAAAAGGAGCATCACAGTCTATTGCAAGAATGTCCGGATATTACCAGACCTCAAGAAACACCTCACAAGGAGAAGCATTTAACAACACACCATATCAATACAACACCAGGGCCTCCGATTTTTTTCAAACCAAGACGGCTCAATGTGGAACGCCCTCATATAGCTAAGCCCCGGGCCGCGCCGTTTCACACGGTAACTAAACAAAACCACGGATGGCGCCTGTGCGATATTTCAGAGTTTTTTTTTTCAAAAATCGACTTGATGAAAGTTACAACCAAATTCCGGTCAACAAGAACGATATACCAAAAAACAGCAATTACAACTCCTTTTGAAGTTTTGGAATTTTCTTAAATGATCTTCGGACTTCGTAATGCAGGCCAAACATGTCAAAGGTTTATCGATAAAGTCACACAAAGTATAAAATTCTGCTGTTCTTATATCGACGATTTGTTGATTGCATCAAGGAACCCAGAAGAGCACGCAAGATATCTGCGAAGCGTTGTCGAGAAACTTCAGCAGTATGGTATCATAATCAACTGTACAAATGCGTATTTAGTGTCTCGGAAATTGATTGTTTGCGATACACAGTCTCTAAAGATGGTATACGCCTAATTAAGGAACGCGTGGAAGCTCTTGTAAGAATCAAACATCCTACTACTAAACAAGAATTGCTCAGATTCCTAGAAATAATTAATTGTTTTGCAGATGCATTCTCCGTGCGGCTGAATTGCAAGCTCCATTTCAAAAACTGTTAGAAGGACCAAACGTTGAAAATAACACTATTATAGAATGGAACGAGCAACTATAGCAGGCTTTTGTTAATTGTAAAGAAAGCTTATCAAATGCAACTCTTTTACATCACCCAGTGGTCAACGGCAATTTAGCTTTGTTAACAGACGTTAGTACAATTTTAATAGGAGCTTCGCTGCAACAACAAATAGGAAAAACATGGCAAACATTAGAATTCTGCTCGAAGAAAATTTCTAAACGCCAATGCGAATGGTCAACGTACTACCAAAAACTTCTAGCAATCTTTGAAGCTATCCCACATTTTAGGCACTACAAATTGATGCCAGCTACTACTAAACCGCTACAAATTGATGCCAGCTTAATTGAATCAATTAACTTTGGCCGGGAGTAAAATTCCTTGTCAACGCAGCAAAATTCATCGCTACACGCGAGCTACGATTGGTATATTTTTGCTCCCTACCCGACCATTTTCACACAAACTTTTAAATTTTAGATCGGATCGGGGTTAGGTACGGTATCTTTAGGTCCTGATGTATCATCATTATTACTAACAAGCCATGGAGCGTCGACTAAATTTCTGAGAATTTTATTTTGCATTCTCTGCATCTTGGTTACATGTGATTTGCTAGCGCATCCCCACAGCCGGCCATACCGGTTTCAGCACTGCATTATAGATTAAAACTTTGTTATATAGTAAAAGTTTTGATTTTCTGCCTAAAAGCCAATTTAACTATTGCATTTTTTCTTGTT